TTAATGGAATCCTGGACAAGACCTTATTACCTTTGTAACATTAAAAAAAATATGGATTTTTTTGATGGCAAAAACGAACGACAATCTAATAACAACAAACGCCAACTTTCCCGAATTTATTAAGAAAACATCAAAAGTGCAAGAAAGAAACATTTTTTTTTTGGTCCAACATGACCGGCACTTAAATATTTTACTTTATAAACCTAAATATAATCGTTAACAAGGAGTATTTACTTTTTAACTTTACTTTTCAATTAGCTTTTATCTTTTTTCTTGACTTAACATTTTTTTCAACTTAATTTACAGTAGATAATATATCAGAGAAGGGCTCATCTAATTGATCAAAAGGTAAAATAAGATGTACAGCCATGTAGCAGCATCTTTACATAGATATAGATCTTGAGCTCCTAGACCTCACTGAGTGACGGGGTAGTAATTTGCCCTATAAAAGTCTTTAAGGAACTTTTATAGTAATGATCGATTACTTGACTATTAATCGATTTTGGGACAAATTTAAATATGACTTCCCTACAACTTCAAAGAACTGTAGCTCAAGACAGTTTAAACGATTATGACCAAAGTCAGGCTTTTAAGAAATTAAAGATGCTTTAAATGAGGCCAAAGCACTAATCTAACGTTTGATGATGTTCAGGGTGCTTCGTCTCTTAGACTGAACTGTTTGGGTTCTGAGGCAAATTTCACAGGAGAAGCTGCGGGTTTGGGGGTTAAAGGTAGCCATCAAGCTAACGTGTTTTTTATTAAATGGCCAAATTAAATCCTGTTGGAAAAACTTATCATCCCAACTTCATAAATCTGAGCGTGTCCTTTGTCTGACTCGTCTCCTCCCTTCTCAGAACTCCAGACTTTAACTTCCTCCTCTCTTCCCCAATCCGCGGGCTCCGCTGTGATAACGCTTTAGCCGTGTGCACAAAGGCCATGTTTACCCTTGCATACCGGCTGGGATAAACAGTGATAGAGCCCCGATCGATAGGGCCCGTAAACGCCCCGGCACCACGTGACGGCTTCACGCTGCCTTAGTGTTAAGCAAAGAGTCCAGAGGCCTGCTGGATCCTCATCGCCAAATAAATCAGAAACGCGCTGGAGCCCGTGCAGACATCCAGTTTCACGTCACGTCCACTTTCCAACCGTTTCAAATCCTCACACCAGATACAGACACACACACATACACACAGAAAGCCCCCCCCCCCCCCCCGCCTAAACAGCGCCATTATTTTCAGCTATAAATCACATTGAATGGCACATTGATTTTATCCTGCAGGGGCTGCAGCATGAGGGGAGCTGCAGACACAGTTATTGCGTTTAATATTATCAATATTATCTCCCATATCATCTGAGACAGGGAGGCAGGTATCAGGAGGAGTCGACAGACACTTTTCTGCCAACTCCCCCCACCCTCCCCACCCCCCCCAGCCAGGCAGTTTCCATCAATCTGATAAGCTGAACTTCCCCTGTCACACCTGCAGGGCAAAGTCACCCAGCATTCTCTCGCCTCCCAACTCCGACAGCCCTCCAAGTTTATCCTTTGTGTGCTTGAATGCTTCCTTTCTGCTCCGTGGTCCAATCCTCTACACCCCCTCTAACCTTCAGGCTCTACCAGGCCCCGTGCAGCTTGGCTTATTCGCCAAACCAGAACTAAACAAGACACGTAAAACCAACAAGCCTTTTAGTTTCTGTTGTCCTTTTTTTATTCTTGCTGCGGTGCTCCTGGTGTCTCCAGAGGCAGTGCAGGCAAGCTGACAGAGCTGTGAGGTGTTATTGCTTCTACGCCGCGTCGTCCCCAACGAGGCTGAACCCGCACACCTCAGCTGATAGCAGAGTAAAGCCTCGTCCTAGGGGAACATGATGCCTTTCACACATGTTTAGTGCGCGGCGTAGTGCTGCTCCAAATGTTAAGATGATCCACTGTTTCATTTTCACTTAGCTCGTTTGTTCCCACACCAGCCTTTTGTCACTCTGGACCAAATGTACAGAACTTGGGGAGCATCATATCTCCATGACAACCAGTCTAAAGGGCTGGTTATCCTATGATATTTTTGATGTATGCCCAGTATTGAAGCGTAGTCTGCGCTATGTTAGGGACATGAGGGCGAAAAAGAGCAGGATCCAGGTGAAAAACGGGTTCCACACTGGAAAAATTATCTAGAAATAAGTAAAAAAAAATTTAAATTAAAAGTATTTACCCTTAATTTAAGTAGGCAAATGAGATAGTTTGCCAATGGAATGAGTAATTTTACTGTTAAAATAAGATAATTAGATGTGTACTTGAAATAAGACAATGCAATTGTATTTTTATTTATTTTAAGTGTAAGTTGTCTTATTCAATTGGTAAAATGTCTCTTTTACCTCCTTAATCAAAGAACAAATACTCTTATTTTAAGAAAATATGACTTATCTAGATTTTGATTTTTTTTCAGTGCTGCGTTCTCGCGCAGCTCGCTCTTCTAACTGCTCCATCTTCATGAGTCGTTTTCCACAACGGCGGTCATACAAACAAAACAAGCCGTTAAGGTACCAAACAAGAAATACTCAGTGTAGAGCGGATGTAGATTTGACCAATCAGAGGCCTCCTGTCTGCGGTCACCTGCAATTTTGGAGAGGAGCAGCAGAGTGTCTGCATAGGGGTGGGGGCCTTAAATCTGGAAAGGATGCCACTGAAAAAGTAAAGGAAAAAAATCTAAAAACTTTCACGATGGAGACTTAGATTCTGCAGTGACCAGAAGCTTCGCCATTTTGTTAGAAACATTTTAAATGGAAACATCTGCTTGATTCAGGAGAAGCTGCAGATTTATGCTCATTAACATGCAGGGTGAGATCCTCCTCATCTGGCCCAGATACAGACGATCGGCAGGCCGCAACGTAGGGTTATACTGACACTGGAGAGGAACCGACGCCAACTCTTCAGGTCGCACTAGTTTGGTTTGCAATATACCCCTTTGCCACTGGCTGAAAAACCCGTTAAGACGTGGGAACAATGGGCTTTTAGTGGCAGTAGGAACAGCTCACTGACGCTTGTCTATATGGGTCAAACGCCTCGGCTCTGGTTGACATGCTTTGGGATCATCGGACCCTGAATATCCAAACTAATATCAGGTCAGCATTTCATCTTGGGACTAAATTGGGTTTTCCAACACGACAGAGGCTCTAATCCGAGGAGTAAAACAAAAACAGATGAGTTTTTTTATCTGTTGATCTTCAGTTCAAACCTACAGAAAAATCTGGAGTGGCTCAGATTGGTACGCAATTCTGGAACTCTTCCTGGACCTACGTTAATCCTCGAAGGATGCTTACATTACCATATCTTGCTATCATAATTCTAACAAAAGCCTGTCATGCTGTCACCATGCTAACAGTAGCCCATTGCTATCACCATGCTAACACTTGCCCATTGCTATCACCATGCTAACA